CTGTGTCAGGACAAGGCCCTGCAATGCTTGATCCTTATTGTACACTAGCACAATAAGCAAACACAGATGAGATATAAGATAGAGAATGCCCTGTCAACCACCATCACTAGTCAGGTTCTGAAATCTCATGGACCTGGTTATTAAAGAGCTCAAAGCAGACAGTGGAGGAAGGGACTCATCCCAGTCTCAAAGCCAAAATGGGCAGGTCTTGGGCTCGAACCTGGGATTCTGATTCCACACACAGTATTCCCTCTGTTATTGAGCCTAAAGTAGAAGGCTGACCTTTTGGTGGTAATTTTGTTCTTGACAAATGCCAGAGAGCTGTTCATTAGTTTACATTCCCAGAATCATGGCAGAATGGAGCAGAGGAAGACAGGAAGGCTCCAGGCACCCCATGCAGCTCAGGGATTCTGCAAAGCAAGGAGATGTCTTACTATTGGCATGGGTTCATCTTCCTGGCCCTGCTCTGCAAAAGTTTGTCCAGGTCCCAAGAACTCAGAGGGAGGGAGCCCTGGGAGACCAGAGTGGCTCATAGTGGGTAGTACTTCTCCCAGGTAACTTACTTCTCCTCTACTCACTTCTTTCCTGATTTGAAATAATATTCATAGGTACTTGCTCAGAACTTAGTATGCTCAGAACCTTGGGTTTAATCTCAGCACCACATAAACTGGACATGGAGTCACAGGCCTATAATCTTAGTGCTCAGGGAAGTAGAGACAGAAGGATCATAAGTTCAAGGTATTTCAAGAGAGATCAAGGCCAGTCTGAGATACGTGAGACGCTGTCTCAAAATAATAGTACTTAATGGTAAGGAGTCTAGAAAATTCAGACAAGCACCCAAAAGACAATGAAACCCCACCCTAAACCTATCCACTCCTCTCACAGCCTCAGCCCTACAGCTGTTTTCTCTGCTCTGCACAGGGATGAGGAAAACATAGGGTTTTCTCGGTAGGAGTTTGTGGACATACTTTTGCTAACCTTCTCTTGCTTGCCATGTCTTAAGCAGTTCCCTAGGCACTTAATCCTGCTTTCTGCCAGCATTTTTGCCAACAGTGGAGGCTTTCATTATTTGCCTGTGTCAGAATCCATTGGCTTTACTCCAACACTAAACACATCCATGTCTTAACCATTCCCCGTATTACACCCTTTCAGCAGCATGCGGTTCCCCCTCATACGCGCACTCCCGCGGCTGCCACCACCAGTGACTCCAGTTCCTAGGCCAGACTGGGTCCAAAGGATTACAAGTCCCCACAGCCTTTGGTACACATCCAAGAGCTGTTCTTGAGACAGACACAGGGTGAGCCAAGCTTGTCATCAGTAGAGAAGACCCCAGGGAGCTTGTGTGCCTGTTAACCATCCAAGATCTCTGGCATGTCTATGTGTTTGCAGCCCTTGTGTGTTGACACAGGCCCAGAAGGCCTCTGGCGTCTGTGCTGTAGCTAGCTCATCCAGAACTGCCTTGCTGGGATGAAGCAAGAATTCTGAGGTCCAGGCCTCAGCCATAGCATTCATCTGCAGTTCTCCCCAAGTCCATACAATGCCCCAATGTGGTAAGTTGGCATGGAAGAGAGTCCCTTGTAACTGCAGCATACAGGAGAATAGAGAGGAAGGAGGGGAGACTTGAGCAGCAGCAGGAGAGGGAAATGTAAGCTAGCACTTCTACTCAGTAGATCCTGCGAACTCTGACAGATGGGGTTGGGACCAGAAGCCTAATGACATGAGGTCAGTCCCAAGTCCTATATGACAGAAGGAAGGAGCCATCTTCTCCTCCACAAGCATGCTGTGGCACACACATGCCCATACATAAACACACACACACCATAAATAAATAAATAGAAAAAATATTTTTAAATAGCAAGACCACAGACTGGGGATGTCCTTTTTCTATCCAACTCTAATTACATGTAAATTTTATTGCCAGTCTAAGATTTGATGCTGGCCCCAGATGAAAGAACTTTCTTTTTTCTTCTTGTCAAAAGACCCAGGGTTCCCTGCATGCTGGGCAAGTGCTCCACCACTGAGCTCTGCCCTGCCCAGGAGAGGACATTAATCTCCTGCTTATCCCTTCGTGAACCTCACTCCAGTAAGTCACAGTGACAGAAGACCCTCAGAGTCCCAGCTTTGTCACTTACTCATTCAGGAACACACAGACTCAGTCCCAACCCTTTTCCAATACTCAGCTTGTTTGTATGTGTGATAAATCGGCAGCTTGGGAAAAGCCACCCGACACTTTGATTTGTTACAGGGTAATTCATTTTCAAGGCGAGTAAACAGCTTGTAAGCGCAGGGGTTTACCACTGTAGGTGATTAAGAAGTAAGTAGCTATAAAGTTCACTGTGCAAAGCTATGTCTGATCGTCCCTGTGGAATTATACTGAGCAGTGTTGGGATTTGCCAGATATTCGCCGTGTTTCCTCTGCTGACCCCTCCTGCCACCATCTGTCAGACGCCCAGTGAGGCTTCATGGGGTCTGGAGCCCAGTGGCACTCCTGTTCTCTCTGTAACAGCCATCTGAGGTAGACAACAGATGAGGACAGGAAGCACTGCCTCCCAAAAACGAACTCCTGCTTAAGACTGCCCGTCACACTCAGAGATCTGCTGCCCACCAGGCCCCACCCCCTGCCTTTGCTGTGGTGCATGTCGCCTACTTTTAGAGCCTGACCAGGGTATCGGTGAGCTTGGTCATTTGAAAACACTAGTTCTTCATGAACATTAGTACAGAAAGCTGCTTCTTGGCCAAGTACAAGGTCCCAGTGAGTGTTCAGGGAAGGGGTGTGTAGACCAAGGGTCCTGTCTATAGATGAAGAGATGAAAGTGAGGAGGTGCAGTACCTTGCCTGAACCCCACCCCACCCCCACTGGGCCAGTAAGTTTCCCCAGGGGGCAGAACCTGTTCTACCCTTTGTACTGCATGGCTGAACACAGTGCTCCCATAAAAGTGTTTTATGCTTTTTAGTATACGTAGTCTCCATGACAATGACTTTACTCTGTATAGCCAGGCTGCACATATACCAAGTTCCAAAAGTTTGTCCCCCTAAGACTTTACTTGAAGAGTTAGTTACTTCTCTTGTTGCTATGACAAGCAGCTTCAGGAAGGTGGACTTGGGCTCCTGGTTTAGGGGATATAGCCCATTATGGTGGGGAAGGCCTGGGGAACGGTGGTGGCTGATCACACTGCATCCACAGTTAGGAAGCTGAGAGATGAATGCTTGGACTCTTGCTGTATCCCCCAGCCCATGAGATCAGAGTGGGTCTTCGTCCTCAGTTAAACCCCTCCGGGGACACTCTCACAGACACCCCAAAGGTATTTCCGTGGCAATTCCGAATCTAGTAAGATTTGCCATCACTTATCAAAAGGCAGTGGCCAGCACCTATGTTCTGTGGAAGTAAGACTGGTCCTGGAGGAAGTGTCATGAGCTCGAGGGTACCCTTCCTGTCTTACCTTACTGTAGCTTCTGACTCGGGGAGCAGATGAATACGGGCTGCAGGCCACCAGCTCCAGGGCTGCAGCAGAGCGAGACCACTTGTCTACATGGGCTCTTGGCTTGTTGAGGTATTTGTTCCTTGGGAGTTTTCTTATTTAGAGAATAAAATCAAATGTTGCAGCTCTTTGGGAGGCATGATGTAAGGGCTCAGAAGCCCTAGTCTGTGCAGAGAGCGAGGCAGGGGTGCAGTTCCTGGACTGGCCATCGAGACTAAACTTTGTCAAAACAAAGTACTTTTGGGAGTTTTTGGTGGTGGTGGTGGTGGTGGTTTCTTTGTTGAGACAGGATCTTACTATATTGACCAAACTGGTCTCAGATTCAGACATCTACCTCAGGAGGATTTAAAGGTATGTTCCACCACATTCAGCATAAAGAACACTTTTCTTAAAAAAAAGAAAAAAATGAAGATTTGCCAGACAGTGGTGGTACACTCCTTTAGTCTCAGCACTCGGAAGGCAGAGGCAGGCACATCTCCTGAGACCAGCCTGGTCTACAGAGAAAATGGCAGGACAGCCAGGGCTACACAGAAATCCTGTCTCAAACAACAAGAACAATAATAATAATTTATTTTTATTTTATGTATCTGATTATTTTGCCCATATAAATGTATATATACCATGTGTGCGCCTGGTGCCCACAGGCCAGAAGAGGGCTTCAGCTCCCCCAGAACTGGAGTTACAGGTCATGCTCTGAGCTGTCATGTGGGCTCTCTACAAGAGTAGCCAGTGTTCATCTCTCTAGTTACTAAAGAACACGATTAATGGGCATTTGCCATACACACTGCCTGTGCTGGGACCTGCTGGGAAGCCTCACATCTCGCCTTCTCCCGTGGTTGAGGCCATGAGTGTGAACAACCAGAAACAGACTGAGAGGCCACAGTAGCCACTTACCTGCTCCTGAGAAGTGGGTTTCACCATCCAAAGCTAAGTATCTCTAAAACTGGGAGCTAGGCCCCTCCCATGTTGTGTGGCCATAAGTCTCGGAGCCTCCACACCTATGAGTAGCTCTCGGGTGGGCTATTGGTGACTCTTCTCCAGCTTGTTACTCCTGAACCTGCCCTACCAGGGCTGCCAGGGCAGAGTGGGTTCTGGTAGGGGGACGACAGTCAGGTCTCTCCACTGTTCTTAGTGACTTCCCAGCTTGCTTTGGCAGAATGACGCCCAAAATTCAGCCAGGAGGATGCTGGTCTCTCTGTGATACCTTTAACAGGAGCCCTGAAGCATAGCCAGCCATTGCTATGGTTACAATAGACACCACAGCCCTGCCTTGTCCTGGTCAGTGACAGCTGTTCTGAAAGCAGCTTCACACTTGCCCAGATTAGCCCCTACCCTGGGAGATCAGCTCATTTTGGAAAATATGTCAAGATTCACAGGGGACAAGTCCAGTCCAGTTGTCTTAAAATGGAGGAGAGGCAAAAGCTGCCTCATAGTGTCTCCAGCTCATCGTGGGGGCGGCCCCCTTGGCGAAGCCCGCCAGCACTCTTCCAATTAATCATGTCGCATACTGTTGTCTTGCAGGCTTTGCTGTGGCCCAGTGCATAAACCAGCATAGCTCACCATCCCTGTCTTCACCATCACCACCATCTGCCAGTGGGAGCCCCGGCGGCAGTGGGAGCACCAGCCACTGTGACTCAGGGGGCTCTTCCTCCACACCCTCGGCAACCCAGAGCCCAGCAGGTATTGGCCGTGGGACATGGGAGGCTCTGGGAGGCCGTTGGGGACCCTGTGACCCCTCACCTCTACTATGACCTCTGAGTCACAGCTCCTCTTCATGGTGTCTGGAAAACACTGCCACTCAAGGCTGTTCTCTTTTGGTTGAGCAGGATGGCACCACCCACCAGCTGCCTGTTGGCTGCTCTGCTCTGTGGGGCTTTCATACCACAGAGTTTTAGGAGACGGTGCAGTTCGACCTAACCCAAGTGGCGTGTCATCACTTCTATGTGTCTCACCAGCAGGGGTCTCTCAGGGTGACTGTGAACCCTGGGAGAAGGAAGAATCATGTCCCTGCTGAGTGTGCCCAACATACACATTTCCTCTCTCGGTGTCACACCAGAAGCATGCCCTGCCACTCTAAGGCGGTGCATCAGGGGAGAGCAGGATCACACCGTGCTGTCCTTTAATGTACACTGATCCAAAGGCCATAATGAAGAGTCCATAAAGCGGAGCCAGACCATAACGCCTCGGCCCCACCTCCTCCTGCCTCATCCTGGGCTGTTATTTTTATGAGCAGCTTGCACACATGTGTCTGTCTGTTCTGCATTAGGTCCCAGGAGACAGACATCAGGTTTGGTTCTTGATTAGCATGGGCCCAAATGCAGCCAAAAGGGCAAGGCTAAAATAGGTACAAGACCAGTGTCTCCAGCCAGCAGCACTACCCCATGATCTGCAGGGGACCCATGTCTCTAGTCTGTACCCTCCATGCCTTTCTCTATGCCTCCAAAGTCTGACCAGAGCCCTGCCCAGCATACCTCACAGGGCACCTGGCCCTCCTCTTTTTTAGTTATGGAGTGAGGAATCATGGGAAGAGCCATACCAGGTAAAGGCCACAATGCCGTGCCCATCCCCTTGGGACCAGTGTCTTCCTGGGTATTGTACTTCCCGGCATCTGCCAGTGGAAGCCCACTTCTGTTTCCCAGGGCTTTCATCTTCCCAGCAGAGGTTTAAGTCACCCTTGTACATATGCCTGTAGCTCAGGGGATCCTAGCCTACCTGTGCTACCCCAAAGGTACTTTTCCCCATCTCTGTTGATGTCATAAGGCCCAGGCAGGAAGGTCACCCTCAGGTCCATCTCACTGGAACCTCTTCCAACTCTCTGTCTATTCTTCTCCCTGCCCTGTGCTAGGGGGAAGTAACATCTAGACTCAGCTAAAGATTAGCTACACAAAGAGGCTAAAGATCCAACAGTTGCCGTGCTACTCCCAGGCTCCCAGCAGGGAAATGCAGACAGGAATCCTCCAGAGCAAAGAACAGCTGCTGGGGCCCCTGCCTTGGTTTTACCATGCTCTAGGACAGGCGTTCAGGGCTGTATGTCCATGTGCTGGATGTATACACTTACTGACATGCACATTGCTGTATCTCCATACAAACCCAGACACCCTGTTTGCCAGCATCCCTAGAGTGGATGGTCTTTTCCACATCGCTACGGGCACGTTTCTTCATTTTCAAGGAGTCACAGCCAGGCTCTACGTGAGCAGGTAGCCATATACTTCTTTGCCTTCAACTAAAACCAGAGAGAAGCCTGCACTGTCCAAGTCAACCCTCCAATGTGCACTCATCATTTCGGCCTTCCTCTGTCAGCCCCCAGTCCCCACCGTTCCTGCCCAGTGCCAACAACATGTCTTTGCATCTCACAAATCCAGGGACCATTAGCCAGGCTGTCAGATGGCCTGGCAGTTCCAGTGAATAACTGATAGTCAGGACCTCTGAGGTGTCTGCTCCCTTTCACTGTATCCCAGCAGGCATCCCAGCCCCATTTTTTATGTGACATGACAGTAAAAGCCTGCGACTGGCCACCCATCCACTCTGTCCAGTCCACATTAGCTCACCTCTTTCAGAAAGCCGACCTGACCAAGAGCTATGCCTCATTCTGGAGGCGGCGATCAGATGCCCTGAGATGCAGCTGTTGACCCTGAGAAGAGCCCACAGAACCCATGAGTCTCTCCACCTCAAATCCTCACATCAGGGTACCCCTTCCATCCAGAACCAAGAACGTGCTTTGTTCCTGAAGGTCCAACCTAACAAAATTGCTCTCCCCATGCCCGTGTCCTGTCAGGATGTGCTTGGGAAAAGTCAAGGACAGAGGAGGGGTTGGGGGGTCCCTCGACCAAGTGTCTGAGTTTGACATAGCTGTAAGTGGCAGCTCAGTATTTGAGAGTCAGAGAAGATGCCCCTACATAGTCTACTGGCCAATTCTGAAACATGCCAAGTGCTCAAGGCACTGTTCTTGGATGTCCAGCTAGTTGTTGGATGAACTGGAGAGGCCTCTGCCTACCTCATTCACCTCTGTTCCTGCTGCTCAGCCTGTGCAGCTGTGGCCTTACCGTGAGTCCGTCTGTCCTCGGAGTTGTTTTGAGGGCATGGTGCTAACACAGGGCCTTGCTGACCTTACATTTACTGAACCTCCCAGAGGTCAGGGAGCCCCTTAATATAGAGAGCAGCTGCCAGGTTCCTCAAAGCCACGATAGCCAACTCTAGAGACTTAGAGGTGCCAATGCCCCACTGCAAGGTCAAGTATCTGGTCAGGAAAGTATATGATTGATACTGTCTACCTAGTGAGAGACCAGTTCCCATGTCTGTTTCATGGTGTTTAATGCTCAACAATGTACAAGAGGTAAGTCACAAAAATATAGCCAAGTGGGAGGGTTAGGACCTGTGTTTGAATAATTCAGTAGGTCAGCTCTGGGTCCCAATACCTCTGTCAGTTTCAAAGCAGCCAGGAGAGCAGATTGGAATATCCCAATCGCAGAGAAACGCTGTCTAATGTGACGACACTCTTTGTCCCTTGACTTGACACGTAAGATTCACGTGTCAAAACATTATACCAAACCCGCAAGTAACAAACACAAATTACACTGGCCTAAAGGATTAAAGACATGGTGAAGACGTTCCTACTTGTCTGACATTTCTCCTGACCTGTGTAGGTTCTTCCCCAGCCCATACATGGTCATCCCAGTGTATGCCCTGCATGGCATTCCAGTAGAGACCTACCTATGGCTGGGCACCTTACTTGGGTGCACTACATAGACATCTCCTCCCTGAGGTCTTCCCCTCTCCCCTTCCATTTGAAAACATAACATCTCTGACAGATCATGTGACTTACCTATCACACTGCCATTAGCAGATGGGAGAATCCAAATGTGAATTCTGTCCTTAATTCCCAAGCCATGCTCTGCCTTCTGAAACAACCCAGCAGAGAATGGGACATGGCCTGAATCTCAGAAATCTCCTGGGTCAGTTTGAATCCTGCCTGTAACAACTGTCTCACAGTTGCCTGTGGGCCCAGCTCCAAAGCCGCAGTCCTACTGGGAGCACATAGTCCCAGGTAGCAGATGGCTGGGCCTTGTGGGTCCCAATCAGAGGAATGCTTGCTGGGGTCTCCAAAAGCACAGTAGACCCTAGACAGCCACATTTTCTTCTGATGCAGGTTCATCTCCACACTAGGGGTGAAATGGGCTGATGCCCAGGATGGTTATTTGTACATTTGCTTTGTCCAGCTAGTTCAGCCTCATACTTCCTGCCTGGGTTTGAACAAGACTCATGTGTATCGCCAGGATAGGAATTCTCAGATTTTTGTAGAGGCTCCAGCCTGTGCTCCCAGGCATCAGTAGTGCAGGCTGCCCATCCTGGTTAGGTGGCCTTGAGACATGCCCAAGACATCCATCTACTAGAGGGGCCCTCTCACTGGCTTCTTGCCCTGGATCTTCCTCACGGTGCTGTCTTTCTCTAGGCAGACAGGTTTCTTCCATGCATGGACATTAAATTCCCAAGTGGCAAAGCAGGGTTCTCAGAGGTGAACAGGAATGGGCCAGCCTATCAGACGACCACAGAAGCATGTGTGCAATAGAACCACAATGAGGGACCATGGTTACAGGGGCTCCACCAGCTGGCGCAGACCAGCTAAAGAAGGCTCTTGTCTTCCTAGAGAGGAGACCTGAGGAACAAATGCTACAAGTCAGGAGCCCTAAGGAGCAGGTGTCTGACCTCACACAGGTCCGACTGAACCCCGTCCCTATATCTTGTTGGAGACAAGTCCTCTACCCATCTCCCTAAAACATGCCTGCAGATCCTGCCCTCCCAAGTGCAGAAGCAGGCAGTCTGCCTTTGAGAAGCAGTTTCTGTGTCTCATGACCAAGACCTCTGCCTAGAAGTGGTTTTAGAGCCTGTAGACCCAGCACAAACTGGGACCTCAGCCAAGAGAAAGGGTCCCCTGCAGAGTCAACTGGTGTGCTATGCCAACGACATTGTGCACATTCAAGTGACTTTTTAACAAGGGCTCAAGTGGGCATCCAGAGCTGCCACAGAGAAAGCGCACACACTGCACCCCCGACTGCCTGAGGAGCCTGCCAGAAACAGTGCAAGGGAGTTTTGTGTTCCTGGGCAACTTTTACCTATCAGAGCTGCACCCAAGGGGACTTGAGGGGACTTGAGTGGCCTGCTTCAGTACCCATTCACCACTCAGTCTGTTTGCTCATTCTTATATCTTGTTTTTTTTGGGTTTTTTTGAAATTAATCTTGTTGTGTTGCACAGACTGTCCTCAATCTCCTGGGCCCAAGTGATCCTGTCCTTGGGCACTTCATGTGGAGACCACAAACTTCCGCCATGGTACCCAGCTCCATTGCTCTTTAATGGAAGTGCTTTGGGCGGCTAGCACTTTAGTGGAGAGCTGAACACCACGTAGCCAACATAACTAGTATGGCAACCCTCAGCTTGACCCCTGGTGAGAAATTGACAATGGAGTCAACACTTTCTTTGAACTTTTACCTTTTTGAGAAGCTGAAATCAAAAGCAGCAACATGGGAAGGGGTCAGAACCAAATGTGGGCCCAGTCCCCTATGCCCCATGTTGATGCATGGCTGCTCAAAGTCACACTGTGGAGTCTGCTTCTGAGACAGGTCCTACCATGTAGATCAGACTAGCCGGACTAGGGCTTCTCCTTCCTCAGACTTGAGTGTGCTGAGATGACAACTGTTGGCCAGTATGCTTGTCTTCTTTATGTGATTCTGGTGAGATACTGCTTCCATGACCTACCCTGCGTTCTTTAAACAGCCCCTTTTGTTTCTGCATATGAGCTAAGTTTTACAGTTTGTTTGTGAGTTCTTTGAGGAAGAAGACAATGTGTTTATTGGAAATGGTGCCAGAGTGAAGGTCAGGCTGCCCTTGTAAATGGAAATGTCAGCCTGTGTACAGCAGCCGCCACTGGCCATCCTAAGGGCTGACAGGAAAAAGAAAGGGCTAGCTTCTGGGGAGCCAGTGTTGAGAGACCCCATGACCTCTGACCCCAGGATCCCTTCTCTGCACCTTTTCTGAGCATCTCTCCTTAATTTTTACCCTGGAGTTCTGGACGCACACTCCAGCGGCCTTCGAGGGAGGTCTCCAGGGAGGAGGCAATGCTGTCTGACTCCAGTGGCTTTCGAGGAGGTCTCCAGGGAGGAGGCAATGCTGTCTTTTCTCTGCAGGGCTCTTTTTTCCTTTTTCTTTCTTTCTTTTCTTTTTTTTTTTTAATAGTGGCAAAATATACCCAAGCTGAAATGGACAGATGCGGCCGTCCTCAGCATGACGTGCTGTGGTGTTTGTTCACATCACTGTGCTCTGTGGCATTACCTTACCTCTCTCTTGCAGTCTCTCTGAGAATGTGGCCCACCACACCCTGAGCCAGTCCTTGTGCTGCTGTTGCAGCCTGTGTATTTCCGCTTAGCCACTGCCTGCCGGGTCAGCCACTCTCTGCTCTGTGTCCTTGGTTCCCCAGCTGGGGCTTTCCAAGTCATCCCCTCCCCCAAATATGTCTAAGACAGGTGTCAGGATACTTCCAGCATCCAGGATTTGCCTAAAACTTGACTTTCCCCGGGGTCAGAAATGCTTAGTTCGCTCTGGTTTGGCTCTGTTCCTCAGACCCTCTTTCCTATGGGCATTTCCTCCTGTATTTCCCATCTTTCTGCAGGTCCCAGATAAAACTAGCAGGCAGTTTTGTCCTTTTGTCCCCTGATTTTTCTGACAAGACCAGAAGTTAGCAGTGACTCAAATCTTTGCAACAGGATTGAACCTTGTCTGTCTCTAACCATATTAAGTTGGATGAGTGAGGGGTTGGCGCTGTAGCTCATCAGCCGCATGCTAGCCTGGTGTGCACAGAGTCTGAGTTCCATCCCCAGTGCCATAGAAAGCAGGCCTGATGGTACATGCCTGTAATGTACTTAGGAGGCAGAGGCTGGAGGGTCAGAAGTTCCAAGATTCTCCTTGACTGCGTAGCAGAGTCTGAGGCCAGACTATATGAGACCCTGACTAATAAAAGGAAGAAAAGATGTATAAATGAGCAATTTTTTCTTAAGTCTCCTGACCTTGGCTCGTCTTGGGGGACAGCATGGATGTGTCCTGTCTACATGGTGGGCTGCCAGTCTGGGTGCCACTCCAGCCATAGCCCTTCTCCCTTTGTTCTTGCTAATGCTCAGTGTCTGTCACTGCTGTGTCCTTTTTCCACCTCACCTTCGCCGTTCCATTGTTACAGGCTTTCTATGATCTGTCGCTGTGTTTTCCCTCTAGTCAGGAGTGGCAGGAAAGGACGCCGGCGTGTGTTCAGCCTGTCGGAGGCCGACAGTCACGGCGGCCACTGGGTTTAGTGCTTCGACCAGCAGCTGCCACGGCACCTCACGCACAATCAAATCAGGCAGGTCTCCTTCAGGAGCCCCCATGGGCCCATGATATCCCTGCCACATGCAACAGGGTTGGCATGAGCAGGGCGGGAAAGCTGGGCCTAGAGAGCACGCCATCGCCACCCCAATCCCGGCTTCCCTGAAGTCAATTCTTTCCCTTTCTGTCTTCTGACTAAGGCCACACCCCCCAGCCCAGTTCTCCATGGTCAGTCTTTCCTTGGTATCCCAGAGCGTTGTATTGTTCCTAAAGTCCTACCCAACATCAGGCTCAGTGTAGCTCCCCAGAGTCAGCCCTGAGCTGGAGGCCATGTCCCATGTGTCCGTGCAGATAGCTGCAGTTCAGCTCACTCCTGACTAGAATCGAGAGCGTGTGAAAAACAACCTACAGTGTTCTTTCCCAAGCAACAAATGCAGCTCTCCAGGCCCAATGTTACCGCCTTGGTAGATGACACCTTTCCATTGCTCCAGTTACTTTAACATTACCAGGAAAGGTGCCAGGCTCTCTTTGTCAGGGCCACCGCTGCTGCTGTTCTAGGATTCACACATACACACACACACACACACACAGCGTGCTGGTTGAGGTGTCCATGTGCTGACAGTGTCAACAGGAACCCTTCACTTTCTTTTCAGTTTGCCAGCTGACCCTCTGCGCTTTGCATCAGCTTGCTACATGGAGCCCGCCCTCCCTCCCTCTCTCCCTCCCTCCCTCCCTCCCTTCCTTCCTTCCCACAGCACTTGCCTGCCTTTCCAGCCTATATTCAACGTGTCCACATCATTTCTAGAAGTTATCCCTTACTTTACAAAGACCAGTGAAGCCCTGCTCTATAGCTGTAGATCACATCTGTGGGGGTCTGCCAAGACATTTCCAGTACGCTCACAGGCAGAGGCTGGAGGCCCTCAACCTTCTGGGAACACAAGCTTGCTGTAGCTCCTTCTCTTTCTGTGACTCTGCCTCCCCAGCCCATGTCCAAACCCTCCTTCCCAGTGCCCGGTCTGTAGCCTTTAGGCCCAGAGGCCTCAACAGAAAAGAGATTCCAAAGGTCCAACAGGTCACCTTTGCTGCTCAGCCTTGGAGCAAAGAGTGGCCTTGCAGTGCCTTCCCCAGGGAAACCTGCCTTCTCTTTTTTCCCCTTTGGTTACATGAACTTGCTGCCTATTTTCAGGAAGAAATTCCTAGTGTAAACAGCAATTGAAGGTGGGTGCAAGAGGGCATCCTAATGATGAAGAGTGCTTTTAAAGTGGAACAGAAACATCCTTTTTGAGAGAGTTGTTGCTTTTCTAAAGGCACCCATTCACCTCTATGACGTTGTTAATGGTTTTGCTCTTTTTTGATAGCTTAGACTATAGTCCTTGTGCCTGCCTGATTATTCTCATCAGCAAAAGCCCCATAGAGAACCAGGAAAGAGGTAAGGGCCGAGGAAGGCGATACTTCTGCTTCCCAGTCCCAACACCAACATCAGGACAATTCCATGTGTTTCCCATGTTTCCCAGCTGCCCAGCCATGGACCCTGTCTCCCAGGAAGTCTCAGACCCGTCTGAAAACCTTCATCAAGGTGACAGCAAGTTCACACAAGGTCACAACAGGGACCTGGGATCTGTGTGAAGCCAGCCCAGCTCAGAGGAATTGGTACACAATGGAACAAGTTAGTGGACAGCCAGAGAAAACAGCACTGATGGTGTGAACAGCACTTCTGGGCTCAGCTCATACCTATGTCCCTTTTTGCATCGGTTCTCACTGATACCCACAGCCCCTCAAGCAAAGATGGGCCCAGAGCCACAGGGACTGGCTTTCTCCAGACTTCCTCTCACTTGCTCCCTCCCTTTTTCCTTTTTAAAGAAAGGGTGGAGTGGAGTAGTAGTAACTCAGTGGTAAAACATTTGGCTAGCATCATGCATGCTAAAAAAAAAAAAAAAAAAAAAGTAAAGAAAGCCCTTAGGAAAAAGGCCCTTCTAGATCCCAGTGTGCCCTGGGAGAGTCCGTGTGTGCTTTCCTTTCCCTGCTCTCCACCCCATTCTTCATACCGCCTGGTTTTATTTGGTTCTTCATTCCTCCATCGTTTGGCTCTGTGTTCTGTTCACTTTTCTGTTTTATTTTGGCTTAAATGAGAAAACAAAAATGAATTCAACCAGAGTAACATTAAACCAAAACAACACCCCATATGCCCTCCAAGTCTCCTCACACGACTCGAGGGCTGAATAATCACCATCTTCTGCCCAAAGACTGTTAACCCTAAAATCCATACAAGCATCAGCGTGCAGCCCAAGCGACACTCCCAGCACTGCTCTCGGGGTCTTCAAATGCCCAGCCTCTGCAGTCTTGGATGGCATTTCCCTTGAATGCCACACATTCCTGGCTGACTCATCACTGAAAAGCTAGTGGCCATAGTCTATCTACAGTCAAATCAGGGTTTATAAAGCACCCAAACAAACAACAACAAAACCCAGCTATTTAGCACGTCTGGTAGAGGTTGACGGCTCCTCTTCATGGCACTTGTGGGAAGCTTCTGACAGTCATGTCTTTGACAAGCCCATCATCCCCTCGGTGGGTGCAGAAGGCAAAGACAAACCATAGCACCAGATTTTAACTATTGCATTGGACTCCTTAGCAAATACCTCCATGTGTAGCCCCTAACAGTCGCCTGGGATTGCAGGTGTGCAGCAGCCTGCTTGCTTCCCATTTATGTATTTATCGGCAGGCAATTGGCCGTGACTCATCCTGCACACAAAGCCTGCCCAGGCTGAGTTTCACTTTCAGAATCTACGCGTTGGTGTCACACCAGGCCTGAGTTTTTCCCTGCTGTCACAAGTCGGACCCCCAGGTTCCTGACATACTACCCCTAGGACTTAGCAGTTTCTGGGTCCCTAAAATGAGTAGGTGGAACCAGGCCATGCCCTAATACCAACAGTCTCCCCGCAGGTTTTTCTGCCTTGATGCAGGACAGGAGTGGTGGGTGCCAGCTGATTACAGTGTCACTACAGCTGAAAGTTTCTCTGCTTTCCTCCCTTAGATGCCCCCACAACTCCAGAACAGCCTCAGCCTCACCTTATAGTCCAGTCGGTGATTGTGAATGAAATGGACGTCAACTCCAAGCCCAACAAGAACTTGGCCAGGAACTCTGAGGTGGAGACCATGCACCTGTCCCCCAGCCTCCTCCCTGCCCAGCAGCCCACCATCTCCTTGCTCTATGAGGACTCTGCTGACACACTGAGCGTTGAGTCGCTGACCCTTGTGCCCCCAGTCGATCCTCACAGCCTGCGAGCCCTCACTGGCATCCCCCAGCTTCCTGCACTGGCCACAGCAGGCCCAGAGACCCCAAATGAGGACACTGTATACCCAGAGCCTGCGAGCCCCACGGAGCACTGAGTGGGCACCCAGGGATCTCCCTTTGTGTGTGCAGCCTGCTGGTAGGGACCCAGTATAGTTTTTGACAGCAAGACACAGTTCTCCATGGCCTTGGAAGCTGTCCCTGATACCTCTCCCTGCAAGACAGCCATGGACCACTGGAGTTTCTCATTTGCTCTGACCTCTTCCTGAGCAGGCTGGGATCCCAGAGACAGCCTTCTGTGTACAAGTGATGGCACTGGCCGCCTAGAGGGGTCCCGACAGCCCCGAGTGGCACCCTCCTTCAGGCAGCTCCCTTGTTTTCTCTCCCCGTACGCACAGAAGTGGACAAGGTTACTTTGGGTAGAACTCTGTAGAGAAGCACCTAGATAAATATCTCTTTCAGGCTATTTATTTCTGGTTTTGGCAACAGGTGAAGAGATTTATTTAAAAAGTACTATTTGCAGGGGGGGAGCAAAAAGAAAGTCCTCAACCATGAGGCTCCAGGTCACACTAGAAGCACCAGCTGTTAAGGTTCCCCTTCTGTAGAACTTGGCCGTGTATTTATTCTGAAGTTGTGGGTGTCACTTCCTCTGTTTCCCTGAGTGATTCTTGTTTCTCTGTCCCAAATTCTACAAGCATGGGGGATGATAAAATCTCCCCCTGAAACATTCAAATACTTCTGAACAAGAAGAACTATGGCCATATGGAGTGAGGAAGCCCGCTTTTGTGCTGTGAGCTGGGTGATGTCTGCCCTGCTCAGGATACCACACAGGCACAACCTGCAGCAGGCTTACTACCTTCTCCTTCATCAAGAAAGACCACTGAGACCAAGGAGGCCCTAGTCCAAGTGGCCATGACGGGAGTCAAAGGATTTAAGACACAGGAAGTCATCCTCAGATGTAACCAGCTTCCCAATATGCATATGGATGCCCAACCAGGGGCCCAGCTGCAAATCAGGTGACCCAAAAGCAGACTCTTCCCTTCCCTGTCCATTGCTGCCTCTAGCACACAGCTTGTTTCAGTATGAAAATCCCATGCTGCTCGGTATGTGCCAGCAAAACCCAGATCTGTCCTATGAACCCCCAGCTTTCCTTTGCATGCAGTCAGCCAGATCACCACTCATGGCTCCATGGCAAGGCTTTCTGTGTCTTTCCTGCCAGTACGGCCTCATCCAGTGTCACTATCTACCAAAGGCTAACCACGAGGGTACCCTGGGGAGGCCTGTCACCATCTGCCCATCAGAAGTCCTTGCCACCTCTGTTCAGCCCACTTCCCTGCAGCCCCAGTGCTCCCCAGGAGGGGAGTGGTGCCCGTGTGGACTGGCCTCTCTGGTCTTTAAAAGCACTTCTGCCTAGAGGCAAAAGCTCCAAAGGCAGTGGCAAGAAAGGATGTGCTGAGCCCCTGGAAAGGGAGGAGAGTGATGGCCACCAAAAGAAGGGTTCTCCCAGCCCCCACAACCAACCCTGGGTATTTCTTGATCATCTGCAGGAAGGGGTAGTCAGAGAAGCAGGCACTTTGGGTTTTGAAATGGCAGTTGTGAGGGCAGCATAATGTTATAAAATGCAGTGTGGCCAGAGAGAAATGCCTGCAGCCAACCTTAACCCACCCGTGCAGGTGGGCCCCACCCCTTGGGACTAGCCTCTTCTCTGCAATCAGGAGGTTTCAAGGAAGGGAAAAGGAGCAAGGTGGTGAGCAAACTCTGAAAAAGCAGCTGCTATGGAGTATTCATCAAGGACAAGCCTGTCCTCCACATCTTGTAAGATTGTTTCCAAAGGCTTCCTGCAGCCAGGCACCCAGGGATACCTCCAAGTGTGCAAAAATGAACTTCCTGTGCACAGAGTCCTTGACTCTTTGCTGATGAGGGGGTCCTGGAGGAAGGAGCTGGCCAGGACGCTTCCTCATTAGGTCTTGATGGCAGCGGGCACAACCCAGTCCTCAGGAACACCTTACTATCTTGGCAGCTGCTCTCCAGGCAGACCCAGCCAGAGAGAACATACTGGGTCTCCCATGGTCAGCCATGGGAGGTAGAACTGAGGGATATCAGGTCTAAAAGGTCACGCAACTTCTGACTTGGAGGTCCCAGAATCAGCCTTCAGAACCATTAGTCCCATCTCCAAGGGCATGCATGCCATGCCTGCCCTGGTTTCTCTCCCTTCTGCCACTGCCCTGGGGCAGACTAGCATAGCTGTCCACATAAGCCCCACATCTCAGTTTTGACCATCACCATAGAGAATGGAGCACTGCCCCTCCTATTTGGAGGCATGGGCAGGCGGGATACTTCCCACAGGTCAGACTCTCAGTGTAGTGGTGAGCTCTCTGTATGGTGGAGGTGGTGGAAGAGGCTTCCAGAGCTGACCCTCTGCTATCTCACCCAGCCTAGCCACCCACCCACATACTTGGATTGCCAGGGGCTGGATGACTACATCCCCTCCTAAGGACGACACTGGCTTTCTCTGTGGCCTCCAAAATGCACAGTTGTAAATAAGGCACAGGTAAGCCAGGTCTGGTCTTTTGTAGATGCAATAAATATATTTCATGCAGTAACAATGGGTAGAAGGTTAAATGCTTCCTCCCTCAGAGCTGAAGCTGTAAGGGACAGTGGCAGAGGGGGACAGGGCTGGGAAGCTCTGGCCAGGGAAGGGCCTGCTTCTGCCAACAGGATTTAGGCTTTATGGGGACTAAACCCGAAGGGGGCATGAAAGCCAGAACTTCCTTGGAACTTGGCAATAAAAAGCAAAACCAATGGTCCAGAATTGTGTCCTGCTGTTCCTTGGCACCATGGCAGGAGGCTGTGCCCGTCACGGGAAGGGTCATCAAACCCCTTCATCAGTCATCACCAATCAGGTGGAACGAAAGTTCTGGAGACTTCACTGCCATCTCCAGCTCTGCTGCAGTTCCCGGGAGCAGTTCTACCCACAAAGGGGGATAGCATCTCGGATTTGCTCTGTCTCGGCTGCTCCAAGCCTGCTGCCCTCTGCCATGTGATATGGGCTGCTGTGGCCCTGCCTGCTGGGATAGAGGCAGGAAGGGCTCCCCACCTGGGACAGCCAGGTGACACTAGTGGTCACAACTCCTGCACACCCCAACATGTACCAAGGTGAGCCCTGGAAATCTCTGGACCCAGAATCACAGGGTTCTTTATGGCTTCTGGTGCTCTGTCTTGAACCTAGTCCAGAAATGCCTGAGGACATAAGAGTCTTGAAAGCAAACCCAAAAGAAGAAGCTGGACACTCAACCTCATATAGGATCCTTACAGAAGAAACGAGGCCCAGCCCTGTGCTGGCAGCCAGCATGACCTACTTCTTCTGTCCTGTGGTTCCTTAGAAGCCCAGCCATGATCTGGGCCTGGGAAGGCTCTGGGGTCCCTTGAGTGGGGTTACCAAATGGAGTCAGCTCACCACTGGGGCGTCAGCTGAAGGCCCACCTTCAGCCTCCTTTCCCTCACAGCACTCCTGCTTGGTTGCGTGGGCATTCACATGTCTGAATGCTTTGGTCTGTGGAAGGAACATACTGGAAGCATGCACAGGAAAGGGGTGACATCAGGATGGATGGGGCCAGGAACAGCTGTTGACTATCCTGGGTCTCCAAGAGCCAGGCCCTCAGGGATGGAGAGACCCAGGTGAGGGTCCCCTAAACACAGATGAGGAGACAGGAGGTGCAAGTCCCCAGGCTGGGACAGGAAGGAGGAGCAGCAGCACTTTTGCAGACATGGATATGTATTGGACTCATCTGGAATTCAAGTTTAGAGCAAGAAGCACACACCCCAGACCTAGTCATCAAAATCCTTTTAGTACCCCCACTGAGGGCCCTCGACATTGCCTGGCTCAGAGGAAGTGCCCACTCAGGGTGGGCCTAGAGCCCACCTTAACATGGGTGTGGTTGCCACTGACTGCTGCTACCAACACCCACCCACCCTTGCAGCTTCCTTTACCCCCATAGCAGCCCTGCTTTGGACTTGTGGGCATGTGGGCATGTCTTGGTGTCTTCAGCCTAGAAAAGGAACTTACTGTAAATAAACTCAGGAGGGTAGCCTCGAAGTGGGGAGAGTTAGAGGACTCCTAGTCCGTCATAGCAGCGTAGTGTGTGTGAACATACATGCATGTATGTAGAAGGTGGAAGCCAGAGGTCAACAGTGGTCATCATTCCTCAGTCACTCTCTAGACCATTTGTTTTGAGACAGAACCTGCCTGTCTCTTTGCCTGCAGTTCACTGGCTTGCCTAGGCTGGCTGGGCAGCAGCAAACCCCAGGAATCCTCTCTCTGCCTCTCCAGTGTCACCTCGCCTGACGTGTGTGTGTGTGTGTGTGTGTGTGTGTGTGTGTGTGTGTGTGTGTTCTGGGCATGGAACTCAGTTCCTCATGCTTGCAAGGCAAGCACCTTACCAAGCACTTAGTCCCCAGCTCTTTATAAGTTGACTCTCTCTGGAATCTGTTACAATAGAAAACTGACTAATCTCAACCAGGAGGCTGGATGCTAGGCACTTTCCATTCTCCTGTTGTGTCCCCTGTAGATCAGCCACGGTCTCTGTCTCCTTGGAGATCTGTCACAGTGTGTCCCACCCACTGCAAGTGGGAGGGGCAGGTAAGGGCAGGTAACAGCATCCTGCCTACCAGCAATCTGAGTCCCTCACTGGAGGGGAAGACCGCATCCCAAGCAGCCAGATAAGGAAAGCCCCTTCTACTTCTGTCTGCTTCTTCATGGCTCTTCAGGGTACTAGGAAAGAACCCTCAAGGCCTAAAGTGCCTTTCTCCAAAAGAAGGTAGGTTTGGCATGGGTTTCCCAGGAATTCACTCCGGGGTACATGATGCTCAATGGGTGCTTGCATGCCTCACTCTCCCGCAGGCAGGCCATGGTGCCCTAGCATTGCCCCTTTGTGGTTCTACCACCCAGACTACCCACATTTACCCACATCATTAAGGCCAGAGGTACCAGGCTCTGCGCTTAGCCTGACGCCTGGGCCTTGCCCATCCTCTGGTGTTCCCACACCCCAGCTCAGCCTAGGGTACTGAAGTTGGAAGTCACACCTAGAATAGAGGACCCTGTCCTACCTTTGTCCACTTCCAGCAGGGTGGAAGTCACAGGAGTCTATTCTCCCATGACTATGGCAGTCACAAGTGCAAACTCAAGCTCAGCGCAGCTGCCACTCTGGAAGACGAGAGACACCGTTCCATGCCTCTCTCTCAGCTTCTCATGCTCTGCAAGCCTCATGTCCTAGTAAGTGAGCCACCAGGCTCTAGGTCCATGTTCGTAGGACTGTGGGTCTCCATGCCTCATAACCTTCTCCTTTCCCTGAAGACATCAGTCATGGGGCAAGGACCCACCCTGATAGGGTGATCTCATACGTTCCTCAGGCTGCTGACATCTGCAAAGGTTCCAGAGATTAAGACACAGATGCCTTCCCTAGACAGTCATGGTGCAGAACACGAGCTTGCCAAGAATGAGCAATGCCACACAAGCAAACTGAAAGCAAATCCAGGGAACGCACTCTTGGAGTTCTGATGGTGGTGTTTGGGTTTTGTTGGTATGTGGTATTTATGTGTGTGTGTGTGTGTGTCTGTGTGTCTGTGTGTGTCTGTGTGTGTGTTCGTGTGTTTGCAGTTAACGTGTATATGTGCATGCATGTGAGTTTGTGCATGTGGAGGCCTCAGGCATTGTTTGTCAGTGCCTTAGGGTCACTATTGTGATGAAACACCATTACCAAAGCTACTTGAGAAGGAAAAGGCTTATTCAGCTTCCACTTCCACATCGCTGTTCATTATCAAAGGAAGCCAGGATAGGAACTCAAAACAGGTCAGGAACCTGAAGGCAGGAAGCAGAAGCACAGAGGGGTGCTACTTACTGACTTGCTCCTCATGACTTGCTT